ATAATATGATAGATTATGGGTGTGTTTGGTATGAAGGAAAATGTTTTCCTGGAAAACAAGTTGATTTTTGACTTATTTTCTCATGTTTGGTTGGTGAGTAGAAAATATTTTCCGGAAAAAAATTTTAGTGTTTGATTTATGAATGAAAAATATTTTTGAGCAATATCTTTTATTTTTACTAAAGTAGAAAATAATTTTTGAAATTGAAAATAGTTTTTAAAAACAAACTTAAATTTTTTTGGGGGGTGGGGGGTGGGTGAAGGGGGTCGAGGGTAGGGGTGAAAATTTGAAATTTTGAAGTTGAAAATATTTTTGAAAAACAAACTTAAAATTTTTTATTTTTTTTTGGGGGGGGGGGGCTGGTAGGGGGGTGGGTGGGGGTCGAGGGTAGGGATGAAAAAATGAAATTTTGAAATTGAAAATATTTTTTAAAAACAAACTTGAATTTTATTTTTTTTGGGGGGGGGGGCTGGTAGGGGGGTGGGTGGGTGGGGGTCGAGGGTAGGGATGAAAAAATGAAATTTTGAAATTGAAAATATTTTTTAAAAACAAACTTGAATTTTTTTTTTTTTGGGGAGGGGGGGTGTTAGGGGTGGGTGGGTGGGGGGCTGGGTAGGAGGTGGGTGGGGGTCGAGGGTAGGGTGAAAAAATGAAATTTTGAATTTGTAAATATTTTTTAAAAATAAACTCAATTTTTTTTTGGGGGGGGGGGGGGTGACCGGAGAGAGGGGTGGGTGATCGAGGATCGGGATGAAAAAATAAAAATTGAAAGTTGAAAATATTTTTCAAAAACAAACTTAATTTTTTTTCTTTTTGAAGGGGGTTGGGGGCTGATAGGGGGGTTGATGGGGGGGGGGGCGAGGGTAGTGGGTAGGGGGTAAAATAATAAAAAATTGAAATTAGAAATATCTTTTAAAAACAATTTTTAATATTTTTTTGGGAGGGGGTGGGGGTAGGGGTGAGGGTGGGGTAAAAAAATTGAATTTAAAAACAAGCTTTAAAATTTTTTTTTTTTTTTTTTTTTTTTGGGGGGGGAGGGTTGGTTGGGGGTGGTTTGAGGGTAGGGACAAAATAAATTAATTTTTTCAACAAAAAAATAATTGTAATTTGAAGTTGGAAGAGAGTTTTGGAAAATGTTTTCCTTAAGTTTAGAAGGGAAGTCATTTTCCTTAAATTCGAGGAAAATGAGTTGATTTGGAAAACATTTTCCAAAACATTTAGCCCAACCAAACATGAGAAAATTGGAAAACATTTTCCGGAAAATGTTTTCCTTCATACCAAACACACCCTATGACACAATTCATACATCAATGAACTTTTAAAAAGCATACTATGTTGAATAATGAATATATAAATATGATTTTACAAAATCTAAAATTTTATAATTTTAAAAATATGTTATAATATTTGTGTGACGATACAAAATTTTCACTAACAATAAAATGAAAAAATTTAAAATATTTTTGAAAATTATGTTAATTTTTTTTGAATAAATTATTTAAACTAATGCCACATAGTACAATTTAGCATGGTACTTACCTTAATAAGTAATATTTCAACTATAGAAGCTTCTAAAAAGCTTTTATTGATAATGTCTTTTGATGGTGTTTCATCTATTAAACTATTAAAAGTTATTTTCTTAAGGAAATTATTGTTTAATTAAATAGACAAAAACCACTTTCTTCATCAATATTCATCTTCTTCCAAGAGAAGCACAAGTTGTTTTCTTTTACAATGAACTTAATCCTTGCCATTTTAGTCCTCCTTTATTTAGTGTCATTAGTTGTTTGGATTTATGGCATCTCCTTTTTTTTTACTCCCATCACAAAACTATAACTTCTCAACGAGTAAAACATAAATCTATTCCAATTTTCTTTTAACAAAATATATAATCATGGTATAAATTTTATAGCTAACAGCAAAATCTATCGTTAATTCTAGTCAACAACAAATTTGCAACAACTTATAAAAATATTATTAGCTACAAGCAATTTAGCAATAGATCATTAGCAACGAAGTTTTGTAGCTAATTCTAATGTTTATAATAAATTTCATGTATATGATTGTCTGACTTACATATAAAAAAATTTCTTTTATTTTTAATTAAACATTTTCACATAAAATGATTAAAAGCGCGAAAAGAATTGAAATTTTCACATAATAAATGCGAAATTTATCTCAAGTTCTACTAGTTTAGTGGATATGTATGAGGCAATAACATCAAATTATAAAGCAAAATAATAATAGCATCTAATGGATGATTATAATGTTTCACTTTACCCCACAAATTATATTCTTTTATTCACCTCTTTAGGACTGATTAATGATTGTAAACTCTTTTTTATAGCCCAATCACACTGAAAAACTTGAGTGGGGTTTCCCTATTTGCCACTAGGCCCAATAAAGGCCCACTAGGTGGGCCCAAATCTAGGATCCGTATTCATTTTCAATGAGATAATGTTGTATTTCATCATCATTATAGACACATTCACTAGTAGGAATATTACTTGGTGGATGATGTCAATAACAACATCCTCTTGTCGTTCCATATTAGAACTCAAAGACAATTTGAGATTTGTTTTCGTGCATCTACATTATTTATCGTGAATCTGTTACCTCCCATCAGTATAGATATCAAATAATTTTTCTTATCTGAACTCAATCGAATTCAGATCGCACAATGCAGGGTCTATTAGGGACAACAGTTTTAATATGATTTTCTCCATGATCAGTACTCAAAACCTCTAATAAAGGGTGGAGGAACCCCGACCATCTCACCACAATCCAGATAGATGCTTGAACTATTTTGCTAAAATAATGAAAGAAAAACTCAAATGCAAAATGGAAGATTGTGATATTCTTGTGCAATTTAGTGTAAATTAGGTCTCATCAACATGTGCCAAAACGTACGTGTTCAAGCCCTTGAGTCTCAACTCTAATCTTATCAACAAGTCCCATAACATAAACCAAACTATTTTTACATATAAAAAAAAGTTGTCAATATGAAAAGAATTTGTGTGTTGCACATGAAAATAGAATCCGCAAAGCATGCTTCATGTTTTTAGGTTTATTAGTTATCATGATTCTTCAATATTTAACAAATCGCACCCCAACAAAAGTTGCAACAAAGAAAGGATCAGAGTTCCCTCCCTGCTTTGCCTTGCTCACCTTTAGCATGGCTCTAACCACTGACTTTTACTCGGTCCCAATTTATGTGACATAGTTCTAATTTCAAAAGTCAAACATTACATATTTTAAAACTGTACAGAAATACTACAAGTCAAAATAATTGATCAATTATGGTCAATGAAAGTGTTGGTTGAATCTCAAAATTCGAAAAATGTCACATAAATTAGAATAGAGAGAGTAATACAGTGTTCATAAATGATGTGGAAGATAAAAAAGAAAATTGTGGTTATTAATTAGATATATTTATGTTTGAAATTCATTTATATATGTGAAAACTTTTATGTATATTCATGTTAAGACATGTTGGGCTGAATCTACCTAAAGATACTTTTAACATAGTGTGATATTCTTCGCTTTGGGTCAAGATTGCACGATTTTTACAAAAACCTTCACACCATCTGGAGAGATCCTATATCTTATATGTGCTTACCAAATTCCGCTACACATGTGGGACTTTGTTCACACACCCAACGATCTCCTCCACAAACTAAGTTTTACATGTCTCATCACCATGATCCCGAAAAATACATAACAGTTAATGAAGTTATGTAGTTTGTGCCTTAATAAAAAAATTCAATAGTGATTCAACAACTTCATTGTTGTTGCTACAATCAAGTATAGTAGATTCCTAATAAAGAAGGAGATTAGCATAATTGATGTCAAAGATCCTACTAGAGGATTGAAGAATTTCATATTGGTGAAGGCATCCAAAACGTGAAGTTTGATGTATGGAAAGCATACTTTGCAAGGTGTGAATCAATTACTAGGAATCAATTCACTTCTAGCACGAATAAATGTTTTTGTCACTATATAGTGTTAGAAACAATAAAAAATAATTAAAGTTATACGAAGCGGGGCAAAAAAAAAAATGCTTTTATAAGAAGCGGGGAAGGACAAAGTCTTTGAGGATTTATGCGAATTTACTTCGTATTCACCCTGCATACTTCTTTTATTTTTTGTGTTCGGCTAAGAAAATAGTAATAACACTATGATCAATAGGGGCCGAGGTTACAATTCAATTGTTTCAACTTACTTTGGTACCACTAAAATGCAGTATTCAAATTTACCTACCCAAAGGTCCACCCTCTTCTCAAATAAATAAAAAGTTTGTCTTGAAAATATAAATAAAAAGAAATACAATTTTTAAAAAATTAGAAATTCTTTTTTCATTCGATATCGTATTAAAATTTGGGAAAAGGTAGTAGTAGCTTCCTAGACTATGACCAAAATCTCAGAGACACACATTAATTAAACTAAAGTTATATTACCCCTAAACTCATTTTTTTTGTAATTTTGTACACCCTTTTGACTTACGTGGCATCCAAATATCTCCCACGCACCTCAACTGCGTGGAGTCACGGGGTGTGCCACATAAGTAAAAAGGTGTACAATATTATATACAAAATGAGTTCAGGGGATAATAGGACCTTAGTTTAGTTAAAATGTGTCTCTAGATTTTCGGTCATAGTCTAGAGGGCATTTATGCCTTCTCCCTTAAAATTTTGACTAAATTTAAATTCGCACAAGAAAATTCTATATTTAAAGATGAAACATTTTCTAAAAAAGGCAACACATGTACAATCGAGTGAAAAAATACTTATCATTCTATCATAATCTTTATCGATCCCGAAAAAATATTTCCCTTTTAGGAATTTTCAACTTTTTTCCTTCCACTTGCTCTTCCTCTTATAAATACACATTCATCACTCTGCACTTCTCAAGCTCAGAAAACAACAAAGAGAAAAAAAAAAACACCTCTCAGTTTCCACTAAACTTTCCAAACAACAAAAATTTCAACCAAAAATAGAAAAATGAGAACAGCAATTGGCTTCTCTACAATCACATCAAAGTTCGAACAATCCAAATCAACCGTAAAAGCTACATTTTCACCGCCGGCGATGGTACAGAGATCGCCATGGCATTCTCCGGTACCGTATCTCTTCGGCGGTCTAGCAGCTATGTTAGGGTTAATAGCTTTCGCTCTTCTAATTTTAGCTTGTTCTTACTGGAAACTCTCCGGTCATTTAAGAGAAAACGGCGAAATTGATCACGATTCGGAAGTAGATCCTGAGTCCGGCGACGGTGAAAAACCGGCGATCGGAATTGTGAAGGCGATGCCGGTGTTTGAAGAGAAGATTGTTGTGATAATGGCTGGAGATTTGAGGCCTAGTTTTTTGGCAACGCCTGTGTTAAGTAAAAACTCTGTTTTGGGAGACGGAAGTGATTTGAATAAATTCGAGAAGAAATTGGAAAAGGAAACCGAAGAATTAGGTGATGAGAAGGAGAAAGAAGAAGTAGTGATTGAAGTTAGAGAAATGAGCCATGGAGAATCTCAAAACAGCCATGGAGAATCTCAAAACAGCCATGGAGAATCTCAAAACAGCCATGGACAAAATCACTAAAAGAAATTCTTCTATCACTCTTTTTTTTTTAACAAATTTCGTGCGACGAGCTCAATTGAAAATGCATGCATATAATATGGAACTCAAAATCTACTACTTGGAGTGTGACGAGCTCAATCGAGAAACACATGCAGATCATATTGAACTCGAAATTTTCTACTTGAAAAATCTTCTGCTCAATCAACTCGATCATCATCACCAATGTGACATTTTTTGTTTCTTCTTCTGCTTTTCTGGGGAAGGGGGATTTCCAGTTTTGAGTTAACGGGAATTGTAAATTGTTGGTTGAGATGAGATGAGTTGTGATTTACTTATGTACATAATGAATATTTGAGACATACATTAAAAAAAATCATTTTTTTAATTCAAAAGTATCTATAGAAATATTTAATTATACGTTTAGGTGTTTAATTGGAAACATATTATAGTCCAAGTATCAAAATAATATTTATTGACAAATTTAAGATACACTATCAAGTATTTTGCCAAATATGTATCATGTCAAGTATATAATTTATCTCCGTGTTACATGAGTTTGAGCAGAGAAATCAACCACTAATTCTTGCATTAGAATAGCTTGTATGTATCATGTCGTGGTTATGGTAATGGTTATAAATGGTAGCTAATAATGGTGACGACAAATGATAGACATTGCTAACTATATTGGTGATTATGATTAATGGTGTAGTTGATAATGAAAGGTAACAACGGGGATAGTAGGTAATAGTGGTTGATGATGGTGACGAATGGATGGAGTTGAAGACATATCGTTAAGATTAAATGCAAACAAATAAGATTTTAATTTAAATAACACTCTTTATGTATTTGATGGATATATTAAAACCTAAAAATTATTTACTGTGAACTAAAACAAGAATAAATAGAAATATATTTTTAAAATGCTAAATTCTTCCTTTTTTTAAAAATAAATGAACATTGTTATAAAGTTACTTAAAATGAAACTCGAAAATCAAAAGACAGATCTTGGTTTTGATGTTATCCATAGTGTTTATGTAATTATAATAATTTAATAAATAAAATACTATTGCATTTTGATCCTCCACTAAAGAGGGGAATAATAAAGTGGAGAAGAAACAATAAAAGTATATATTCTATCTGTTGGATTCAAGTGTGTTCAGCATTAAAAAAGTTTTTTTAAAATATATATATTAAGTGGAGTAAATTAAATGTTTCTCCAGTTGTATGGGAAGTGATGTTAGCAAATAGTAATGTCTCAGTTATTGATAAGGATGGCATTAAAATGAATGAAATTTCTTTATTTTTAAGTATTAATTTTGGAATTCTAATCTTAAATATAAAAGAAATTACTGAATATGTTATTCTTATTGTTATGGTATATAAAAGAAATCATGTTATTAGAAGATGTTTTCCAACTAATATAAAACCCACACAAATTTTAAATTAACCAAAACTCAATATTAATATCAAATAACAAAAATCCCTTTATTTCCATTTTTGTGACACTTTTATAATTCGAAATTCAAATAAATTTATTTTTGATCGTAACTTTTTCATATATATTTTCATATGTCAGTTATTGTGATTTATAATATTTTTTTAATATAATTTTCAAATATATAAATTTTAACTTTTTAAAAAAAAAATATTCCATACCCTAATTCACAATTAAAATCAAATTATTTGACTCTTAAAATTCAAACTACGCAATATCTTGAGAAAAAAAAGAGAGTAGCAATGTCTAAATTTTCTTGGCGGTAGTGACTTTTTTTTTTTATATATTTGATATCTGCATCAAAATTCGACTATTTCAAATTTGTTTCTATTCATAGAGGTGGTAGTTGAAAAACAGGTGAAGTGAAATAATTGTGGCACTGTTTTCTTCGCAAAGCTGATGTTGAATTGGGCGCTGTGAGGCTGGTGGGTTGTCCGTGAAAGTGGGCGACGCGGCAAAAATGCGCCTGTGAAACCTTTTAATTTTGCTAAACTGTTAACTCATTTATTTTAGTGAGATGTGAGACAACTGTTTTAGAGATTCGAGAAGAGGTGAAGTTTTGAAAAGTTGTATTAGAACTGGATTAAATATTTTCTTCATTTAAATTAATTGAATTGTTAAGGTATTTTACATATTTTAAGAAAAGAAGATCAAGACATAAATTAGGCATGACTTTTCATTTTTATCCTTATTAATTAATAACTAATTCTAATACTAACTAATGAAGGGTGAAATTGGAAGAACATTCTAAAAATAATCTTGAAACTTGAACAATTAAGTTAATTTGAAAAATAAAAAATGTCTCAACAATTCAATTAATTTGAAATGGAGGGAGTAAAAATTATGGTTGTAATACAATTTGAATTCAATATTATACATGGTAATGAATTCGATAGTTGTAATTCTAGGACAAATATAATCCATTTTTGACAATGAAAACTAGTTTAGGTAATACTGAAATGTTTGAAATTCTCATAAAATACTTATAATATGTTTGTATTAAAAATATCTTAGTTATATATCCACCACGTGCATTAAAACATGCTTATATTATGTATTATGTATTGAATTCAAAATATATTACATTTTTTTTCTCTAATTAACAACGTTAAAAATGGATTATATATGAATCTTAAATATTCAAATATTATTCGAGTTAGTTTTTGTGTTACTATATTAAAATTGTTTTAAAAATCCTATATATATTTGGTATATGCTAGGAAGGATTACAAACATAATAGAAAAAGTTTTCTTGGTTGTCTAGCACTTGAAGAATACAATTATTTACCTATGATAAACTAGAAACAGATATATTATTGAGAAAGAAGCAGCAAAGATATAGACAACCAAGAAACGTGAGCACTTACGTCATCAAGAAAGAGACGTAAAAGAAATTATATATATATTCCATAATTCATTAATAAAATTATATAATAAATTATCTATGTAAATTTTGGCCAAATACAAATCAGCCTTTTTGTCTAACTTATCAAAGAAAGAGAACAAATCAGCTTCCAAAAATCTTCATATTACCCTTCTTTAAACTTGAACAGTTTCTGAAATAACAAAATGCAAACAAAATTTCTTATCAAACTACATCACACAAGTACATTTTATAATAATATTGAAGATCAATTTATAAAGTTATTTGATACGTTGTGTAAAACGGAGTATCTGAAAGTATAATCAATAATAATATTATTTTATTTTAAAAAATAAAAAAATATTGAATACAATTGAAATTCATTCATACCTAAAAGTCTCAATATCGTGGCTTATAGCCATACTAGTTGCTCTCGTAAAAATAGTACGAACTACGCACGGGCCCAATAATATTAGGAAAAAACTTTTATATTCCAAAAAAGAGAACTATTTACAAGCGGTTATCTCCTTACTTTTACACTCTGCTATTTTTTACTACTAATGCATATTTACTACTTGATACCATCAAAGTGTATATATATATATACTTTGATGGTATCAAAGAGGAGGAACCATTGCTTCAGTGAAAAATACTACTCAGTTACTCCTTGATTCCATTTGAGTATATATATTTATACTATGCTGGCATCAAGGAGGATCAAAGAGTGTTTCAGCGAAAAGACTGATCAGTTATTGTTTGATACAATCAGAGTATATAGATACTATCAAAGTATATATATACTACGATGATATCAAAGATGAAGAAGCAGTGGTTCAATGAATAGAACAAGGGGGTTGCTGGTTAAATAGTTTGAGTCGTGGGCTAGTCAGGGTAAATAGTTTGAATTGGGTCTAATTTAGATAAATACTTTACTTGAATCCAATTTGTATTATAATTTTTTAAATAATTTTATATATATATATGATACCTCTCTTCTCTAAATTCCATGAATAGTAGTAAGTGAAGGTTGCGATCTTCAGCCCTAGGGACGAACAATAAGGAAGTAGCCGTAAGACTGAGGTCGTGAAGGCAAAAAACTGTTCATAACCTGAAATAAAAGAAAATATCTAGAAATTTTTTGCACCAAAAGCAAAAAAAATAAAGACTTTGTGAGTCAGATGCAGGGTCAACCCAATGAGTAGCATTTCCTTACTACAATCAAATATTTTGTAATAATATTCTTCGAATTCACAAGTGTATTCTTGAATATAACTCATTTTGTAAATTTGCATATATTATATATATAAATGACAATAAGCAGCCACCCTACCGTCAACAAGTGTGGGTATTTTTGAAATTCACTCAAACTATTGCTTTAAAAGTTGGCAAAAGAGTCTGGTGGACCTTTGTACTTACTTGTATGAGTTTGTATTGTAAATTCTTCTACTTACCCATTTGTCATCTGGACCCATGAACCCATCTAAACTCAACATTTTAAACACGTTTTCTGACTTGGCGTTCTATGTGGCAAACACAGCCAAAGGGCGTGTGATACACACACCTGAGGAGCGTGAAATCTGGTTAAAAGGGTCTAATAGCCACATTAGGGTTTTATAAAGCCCTCTTCTTCCCCATTTGCATTTAACGCCATTATTAGACAAATTTGAGCTTTTTCTTGCCTCTATTTCTATCTTCTTTCTCCAAATTTCTTCTCCATTTTTTTTCATCGTTATACTCCTCTTTTATTTCTATGCATTTCCAGTTAATTCTTTGCTTCATTTTATGGTTGATCCTATTGTAGTTTTCTACATCATCATGAAAGTTGTTTTTCTTAGAATCCTATAATCTAATATAAATCATGAAACATGTAATTGAAAGCATAACAAATAGAATCCCCAAAAAATTTCAAAAAAATCAGTATAATCGACTAAAAACCTAAAAATTAAACAAAGACATAAATAAAAGATGAAATCTAGACTAAACAACATACAAATTCGAAAATAAGTTACAAAATTTACATAGATAAATTAAAAATCAAACAAAACCAACAAAAATACTCAAACAATTTTGTGGGAATGAAGAAAAAAATGAGAAAGAAAAAATGTGGGTATATATAGCCACACACAAATATTGATCTAGGACGACGCTGACACACGGTACACT